AATTGGGTCGGGCCGGATCCCAGGGTGGATCTGGCCCACGAATCTAGGCTTGGGCAGGTTTCACAGATCCGGGTCACTAGGTTAGGCCAGGTTTGCTAGGTTAGATTAGGTTGACTGAGTTGTTGGGTTGGGCTAGAACAATGGCCCAAAGGTTTTGGCCAGAAAAATGGTCTGAAACTTGCGGACTTCGCCAGAAAACTAGGGAGTTCATCCTCGAGTGATTTTTGCACCTAAACGTCGTCACAACACGTATACAACTCAAAAATTGAATCAGAACATCAAAAGGGTAGAGATTGAAGGTATTTCGAGTTTTACCTCGGTCGAAAGAATTTGAGAACTTGTCGTAGTTCTCCATTTCCTGTTTTCTCTGATGTGAGGTCCGAGAGTTGCTCGAGTTTAAGCTCTGGGCTCGTGAAGGAATATGGGACGAGCTAGGGGTGGTTTGGGTTCCTTGGATTCGATTTCAGCTTTAGAGATGTAGGTTTCGACCGAACTTTGTCACTTTAGCCCTGCATGTCGATGTATTGTATGTGTTATTGATTGGTGTGATTGTTGGATGGTGTTGGAAAACATATGTGTGGGTGAATGGCAACATGACTAGAGAATATTACTGTGCTTCGTTTGTTATTTGATATGTTACATGGTATGGATGAAGGTATTATATTGAGACATATTTATTTATGTGATGATTGTTCAAGGGTAGTGAAGGACGAACTATGAATGGCTTGATCCCTGTTTATGATACGTAGGCAATCTAATGAGGAGGTTAGATGCAGCCATAAAGTATACGAAAAAAATTACTATGCTTTTGGATCGTGAGTTGTGTTTGGCCCGTATCCTGGAAGTAGGGTATGGTAGATGTACAGGTATTTGGTGACGTCACGTGTCGATTCTAAACGAATGTCCAAATAGGGGCTTGACACATTCCTTGATACTTAACTACAAAAACCAACACCAAAATCAGAAAAACTTACAAAAGTTGCAATCTAAATTACGACAACAGAAAATAAGAGGGAATTTGGCTAAAATGATCATTTTTTACCCAATCACTGAAATTATCAATTTTTCAGTATGTTGTCGATATTTGATTTTGATAAGTTCAGAAATTGAGAATTGAGATATGATTTCATACCATTTTAACCACTTTCCCAAAACAATAACAGATTAGAAACTGTGGAAAAGTGAGACACTCATAAATTTGAAATAAAAAATAAAGAGATTCATAAAACAAGCAACACAAAGTTTGATTTTCCCTTACGTTGTTAGTGATCATGCAAGATTCTTCTCTGAACTATGGGTTTTAGCATAGCAATTATATTATATTAACTAAAAGAGAAAAAGAACTGAAACACTGTTCCTTCGACAATGTTCTTCCCATTTTGCCCTTCAGTTGCTCTTCAAGTCTTGCTTTTTTGTGTACATTACACATTAAAAGGTCGGTTATAACCTTAGGTGTCCAATAAGTCTCTCGACTTCTTCCTCAGAAACCGCAGAAATCCAAAAAGGAAAAAACTGTGCTCTGCAACACGATTGACGATTTTGATTCCGCTTCGTGATATATGTTCGATCTTTGCTTCCTTATCTGTTCAATCTCCTCGCCGCCCCATCGTGCTCCCAATTACTGTAGCCTGTGACAGGTAATTAAATCTCACTTTTTCTCAAATACCCAAAAGCCAAATATTTGATTTTTTTTTATTAAACTCTGTTTACTACCCTAATGTTTCGTGGTTTTCAACATTTAGTACATCAAGTTTTTTTCATCCTAGAGTCATACCTAAAATGTTAATTTTGGGACAGTCTCATACATCCGTTAGTCAAACTGTTAATTATCCCATTAAGTGATAACGTGGTGCCTATGTGGACAATGACTGGGTGCCACGTCTCATTAAAAAAAAATTAAAATAATTAATTAAATATAAATTAAAAAAAAACCCCATCCTTCTCCCCCGCCCCCCCTAGAAGAAGAAGAAGAAGAAGAAGAAGAAGAAGAAGAAAAAAAATCGAATTTGTAACCCAGAAGAAGAAGAAGGAAGACAGGTGGGTCGTGTTCGCGGGACGAGGGAGAAGGCAGGTGGGTTGCAGGGGGGAGGGGGACGAACTGGGTTTGGGCTGCTGTTTTTTTTCTTTTTCTTCTTCTTCTTCTTCTTCTTCTTCCCATATTCAGTTTTTTTTTTCTTCTTCTTCTACTTCATCATTCTTCCTCCTTCTCCTTCTTCTTCTTCCTCTTCTTCTTCCTTCTTCTTCTTCTTTCTTCTTCTTCCCAGATTCGGTTTTTTTTTTCTTCTTCTTCTTCTTTTTCTTCCCAGATTCGGTTTTTTTTTTCTTCTTCTTCCTTCTTCTTCTTCTTCTTCTTCCTCTTCTTTCTCTTCTTCTCCCTCCTTCTTCTTCGTCTTCTTCATCTTCTTCCTCCTCATTCTTCTTCTTCTTCTTCTTCTTCCCAAATTCGGTTTTTTTTTCCTTCTTCTTCTTCCCAGATTTGGTTTCTTTTTCTCCCTTTTCTTCCTCCACCTTTTTCTTCTTCTGGGTTGGGTTGGGTTGGGGGAGGGGGGAAGGAGGGATGGGTTTTTTTTTTAAAACTTTTATTTAATTAATTATTTTAATATATTTAATGACACCTGGAGTCCAGTCATTGTCCATATAGGTGCCACGTCATCACTTAACGGGAGAATAAACAGTTTGACTAACAGATGTATGAGATTGTTCCAAAATTAACACTTTAGGTATGACTCTGGGACGAAAAAAACTTGATGTACTAAATGTTGAAAACCACGAAACATGAGGGTAGTAAACAGAGTTTAACCTTTTTTTTCTTCTTCTTTTTGTTGTGCTTAGTTACTTCTTTGTTGAAATTTGGTGGTGATTTCGGTGGTTCGTGTAATCATCTTTAATAATTTATAATCAGATTACAGAAAAGAAAAACATACCTGTAAATTTGGGGAAGAGAGGAGTGAAACAACTAGAATTTTGGGAAGCACTGTGCTTCTGGTGAGTTTTACAACTTTCTCGGTGTGGGTGTTTCATTTCGTTTTTGTGATTTTGGATTTGCATATTTGTTTTTGTTCAAATTTCCTTTTGTGGTTATGGGGGTTTTTGTTTATCGATTCTCTCACTCATCTCTTAGCTCTCTCTTTCTCTGTCACTCACTTTTGAGGTATATGCCGTTGGATTCGTTTGCTGCTGCTAATCTGCAGGTAAAGCTTCAATTTCCATATAAAGTTTCCATTTTTCATGATTTCTAGAATTTGGGTTTTAAACAATGGAAATACTGCTAGATTCTTATCATTATGTGCAAATTACTGGTGATTTGGATTGGTGCCTGAGATTTAGAGAATGGCTCGCAGCTTTAATTTCTTTTTCCTTCATTATTACTGTTTTCAAATTTTTTATTGCTGGGTATTGATAATTTGTAGTCTGTGAGAGCTTCAATCTGTTGGAATTTTGAATGGTTATTTCTTCATCAGAATTTGGGTGGTCCAAATTTTGAATTAGAAGAAACCCATTTGATTAATATTTTTGATGGATTCTGTGTTTTCTTTATTATTTCTTCCCCAGTTGGAAAGTGGAAGCCCCAACTTTGAGCTCAGAGCTTGAATTTTTCAATCATTCGTTTCTCTGCACAGTCACTCTTGATGCTCTTTCAGGGGAGCACTACATATTTAAAGGTGATGGCGGTATGTGATTCCCACTCCACTCCACATCATCTTTTTTTTTTAATTTTTTTTAATTTTTTATAATCTTAATGGGTAATTTTCAAACGTTTTGTAGTAATTTTCCAGCACTATCAAGTAATTCTCCATTTAATTGCTTCATTGAGGTTTTTTGTTTCTCTTTTTCGCTCTTTCATCAGTTCATTGGCGCTGATGTTGGGCTTAAGTAAATGGGAAATCATTAATTAGCACTGTTCAAGATATAGTTCTGTGTTTTGGGATTTGTGAAACGATTTGGCTAATGAAGAGAGTGATTTTTTGTATATAGATTACACACATGTGGGCTGATCTATTTTTCTAATAAATTTCCCATCTGTTTCAGGGAGACTCAGCTTGGAAGGTCCAGAATTGATTGTAAGGGATAATCTGCATACATCACATGACGGGGAGAAATTCTTTCCAGCTGAGACATCAAGGCTTCGCGGGGAGTCATCTCCAAAGCTTGTTCTCTTTTTTTTTTTTTTCAGCATCTGGGATAGGTTGCAGATATCAACCAAGGTTTTTGCAGTCCAAGTTTTGGTGCAGTGCCTTGGTCAGACAATAAAAGCAAAGAGGCTTATGATGAATTCACTGCGAAAAAGTTCCAGATTTCAAGTGCTAATCCTAACCTTGAGGACAAGGTTGTTTTTCAAGGGGGGAGTAATGATATGATCTGTAATTAGTGATTAGCTTAATCACTATTAAGGGTTTTAATCTTGGGATTATTAGGCTTATTCCTGTTTTAGTGAAGTTTGTTATAATTAGCTAGCTGGCATGATGAGTTGTGACTTGTATAAGACTCAAGAGCACTAGCTCTCACTATTGTAATCAGATGAGAATTTACACAAAAAGAAATATAAACAAAAATATTGGAGCTCCGCTCCTTCTACCTTCCTCCTTCCCTCCTCCTCTCGACCCTCTGTGTTACTTGCCAGTTGATTAAGGGTTTAGAGAATTGGATCGTAACAAAAGGCGATGGTTACGAGGTTTGCAAACCTCTGCTAAGGGTTACAAGGTCGCAAGGGCAAGGGTTGCTGGGGATCTGAGATTCAAAGGAGAGCTCAATAATTGCATAAGAGAGAAAAAGGGACGGGGATAGAGGAAGAAATTATCCCCACCTTTTTTTAATTTATTAATTTTTGAAATTTTAAAATTTTGAATTTTGAAATTTCGGTTTTTTTTTTTTTTTTTTTTTGAATTTCCACGTGAACCTTTTAATGACACATGACGTCCAGTTATTGTTCACATAGGCGTCGCATCATCAATTAATGGGAGACTTAACAGTCAGACTAACGGATGTATGAGACTGTCCCAAAATTAACAATTTAAGTATAACTCGGAGACAAAAATAACTTAATGTACTACATGTTGAAAAACACAAAATTTAAGAATACTAAACTGAGATTTACCCCTTGAAACATTACCCCCACACAAAAAGAAACCACAAACAAATTAAAATATCCAAAAGTAGTACTAGTAGCACCAACAAGCCCTGCAAGTAATGCACGTCTCTCTATGAAGATCATAAGCGATACAGCAAAATTAATCTTGCTTTATCTGATTTAATTGCTTGCTTAAAACTTAATTATATTGGATTATTGATCAGTACGAACTGAGACCCCATCCGCATATTTGCGATAAGTCTTACGCTTCATGACCTCGGTAAATGCTGAGGAGTAGTTGCTTCCCACAATTACTTTATACTTGTTCCACCAATGCATGAAGCTGCTATTTTTCAAGAAAATATCAACCGTAACTGCGAAATTCTCGAGCATATTCAGAACGTAAAGCTCATATTCGGTCATTGGCTTAGCATCTGGATTACTCGCTTGTTCGTTGCACCAGATAAGCGCTTCCTCGACGTGCGCCCAAAAACAAGAATCATCATTCAGATTAGGAGCCTCGTTCTTCGCTTTTGAATTGGGCTTGCTTGCGCTGCGCAGTTGTGGGTTCTCCTTTTCTTCCCTCTCTTTCTTCTTATTTTCCTCCTCTTCATTGTACCATTGCTCCAAAAGAACGAAATGTCCAGGCCTTTCCTCTATGTAATCTTTTCCACCTTCCTTGTAGTACTCTGCAATGCAAAGTGGTTCGATCATCTTTCTGTAATTCGTTCCAGCAAAAAGAAAAGGGGCTGGCATTGCGGCTCCTTCTTGCCGGGGCTTGTTCGCAGCTTCTGTAACCGTGTCATGCCAATACCTTGAGAGCGTCCTCTTGTACTCTTCGGCCATAATGTCACTCGCGTAACGCTTGTTTCTGTACCTGTCATAGTATCCTATTCCCATGTCTTCGGACGACATCTTGTACCATTCCATGTAGGCCATGTACTTTTCCATCTCATTCAGTTTCAAGTAGGAACTGTAAACCTTCGTCTTCTGCATCGCTAGTTTACGTTCGTGAGTGACCATCTTTTTCATCAGACTTTCGAATTCTATGTTGGGTTGTTGCTGCTGCAATGACTTTTACAAAAGTAGTTGAGAGAAAAGTTAGTAGCTAGAAGCAAAACATGGGGTGTGATTTCCGCAATCTCATATTCCCCCCCTGCACACCCGTGTTTATTTCTAGTCTTTGGATTAAATAAATCAAAGGAGAATCAAGAGATGGAAATAAACAGGTTTGTGCGGAACCCATTTCCCAAAATCATCATCAAATCAGATATTTCTGTTGAAAGTTTGATACCTGTGAGCTGAGAACTCCTAATATTGCTGCCAACTGTGTTTTAATTCCAGCTTTAAGTGGAACTCTATCCTCTTCAACCAACTCAAAGACATCTCTAGACAATGCCTTAGTCTTGAGATCATTCAAAATCTTTCCGTAATCGAACAACTGAATCCCTGAATTCAGACCTGGATTTTGGGCACACCGAGAGCTGGTTTCCACCAATAGTTGCAAAATGGCATCAGGGTCCTCAAAGCAAGAACCACCCGAAGAGGAGCACAGTAGGAATGTTCCGAAAGGCTTATAACCACTCGCTTGCGAAGCGGTTTGGAAGAATTGAAGTACAGGATCATCGATGGAGGCTACATTCAAGAAGCAAGAACTCCACAATGGGAATTGCAACACACATTGTCCGAATTGTTTGTCACCGATCAAAGGTGAACCAAAAGCGATACAAAGGGGACGTTTCACTTTCGATAAGTCGAGGCTTTCTAGCAGCCATAAGGTGAAAAGGGTAGCTACAGCGCCTCCAAAAGATTGTCCAGTGACAAGTACCAATGAGTTGGATTTGCTTCTTTCTACCAGCTGAAATATTACATAAAAGTTAGTCAATTACTGAACTGCCATTTAATCAGTTCGGAGACGTCTCTACGAATAAGGTCCTCAGAACTTCATTCATATTAGAAAAAAAAAAATACTTAAAACTCGGTTTTGAAACAATAAAGAAAGGGAACTTTCATGAAAAGGCATTTGATTAAATTTATTTTAACAAAAAATCATGCTATAACTTTATTTAATAAAAAATACTTAAATATTAATGAAAAACTCTTAAACTTTAATAAAAATGACAAAAGAACTTTAAATTTTAATGAAAAAGACATAATTTAAAAAAAAAAAAAACTAACGCAGGGGACCGTGCGTCTACATACACATTGTTTATGAAACTTACTATACTGTTTATGAAACTTAACATTGTTTATGAAATTTAATAGTACTACACTGTTTGTGAAACTTACGAGATTATAGCACCAGACGTGTGTTTGTGTTAACTTATTTTGTCAAAGGCCTAAAAATAGGTGTCATCGTTGTTACAGTTAGCTAATTCATACATAATATCATATGTATGTGTAGTGTGTTTTCATTTACTTTTTCTTATTTGGTTATATTGGGGGGGGGGGGAGAGGGGGACGCGGGCTAGGCACATGCATGTTTAAATTTTTTATTTTTTTTATCTTTATCATTAAATAAAGTTACTAAATAATTTTTTATTAAAATGTAAAGTTTTGAAGCATTTTTCATTAATTTTCTTTAAAGGGGGAAGGGACTCAACTGTTACTACATTAAGCTCTTAGGGTGTGTTTGTTTAGGCTCACTAGATCTCATTGAACTGAATAGGACTAATTGTTAGTGTAATCTTGTGTTTGTTAGACAGAAGAATTAAGTTTAATGGGATTAAGTCAAACTTGCTCCAACAAACTGCTTCACTAGAAGTTCTTAGCGAGAACCCCAATATCATCGGATTGCTACGACCATCTTCGAGACAGTTGCTCGCTCGTCCTGGTCCTGCTAACCCATCCTGGTCATGCTCATTCTGCTCCCTCATCCTCGTCCCGCTCCTTCATCCTCGTCCTGTTTGGTAAATTCTGAATTTGACAATCAATTTCTTCAATTTTGTTTTGCAGATCGTAATTATTATTGGGTTTTGATTGATTTCATTGTTTGCATGCGAAATCTCTAAAAATTTTGAATTTCTAGCACAAAAATTGGGTGCGTGTACATTTGTGTTCTGTGATTGGGTGCGCTTTTTAATTGATTGCTACCCAATTTATCTGCTATTTTTCCTTATGTGAACTTATTGCTAAGTTTTTGTAAATTGATTGCAATTTTTTCTTTGTTCCCTGCTTATTGTTGTTTAATCTTATCCAAAATTCTCCAATTTGGTTACATAATAATCACCATTTTATGGCCTTTTAACAATCTTTTGAGCATGCAAAAGCACCATTTTCTGATCTATAACCCATATAGCCGTTTTTTTATTTTGTTTTGGGTAAGGTTCTAAAAGGCGCTAGTAGGGCGGCGGGTTTGGACCAAGAACCTAGGCGGCTAGACGGGGCCTAGGCGGACTAGGCGGATTTAAGTAAAATCTATTATATTTCGTGTAAATAAGTACGTATTTATATTTAAAATATATATAATTTCATCATAAACTACAAAATAGAATGACATATACATTATGAAGTATTGAAACATAATGAAATCATGGGGAACAAGGATATAATGTGTGTTCATTTAAGTATGCAACAAGTCTCTTACAATTTATTGAAAAATAAAATGCAAAATGAAAGTGATCTATTTTCTGTTTAAGTGAGTTGTGACCTAGGCGGATGCCTAGGCAGATCTAGACGGGTTAGGCGGTCTAGGCGGGTCTCGAGGCGGTCTAGGAGGGTGCCTCAACAAGTCAATACGCCCTTTCTTAATTTTCAAATGTCTAGGCATTAATCGGGGTGGTGGCCAACCGCCTAACACTTAGAACAGTGGTTCTGGGCTTCCTATTACATAAAGCACCCCTGATTGATTTTTATTTTGGGTGATAATTTTTTGTTTGATTCCTGACATACATACATAAATTCCTTTGTTGTTAATATTTGACATGGGTACACTGGGTTTTGGTTGTTGAGTTCACATTTTCTCAGATGTTTCATTCCCATTAATGAATTATAGTTTATCGTGTGTACTCAGGATTTTGGCTGTTAATATTTGACATGAGTACTCTGGGTTTTGGTGGCTGAAATGTGCTTTAAAACCATAGTTTATGACTTTGGCATCGAGCCTTGACCCACTTGCTGCTAGCTAAAACATTCGATTAACCAGAATGAAGTTACCATCTTATCATTCTATTTTCAAGTGCCTCTACTGACTCAAACTTATGGAGATATCGGATTTGCATCCTTAACCATTGTAAATTTATCAACCTTGAGGCCATATGAAAAGCTATCCGCTTTGTGACTTCCACTTATCTTGCATCCCTTTCCCACTTCTTTTTTGCATCCCTTTCCTACTTATCTTGACTTCTAAATGTCATCTTGATTTTCTATCTTTTACGTTACAAAATCAGTCATCCACACATGTTTATATGGTTTAAAGCTGGGTGATGGTAATACATAAACATGAGGTATTCTTATAAATTTACAAATGAACTACAAGAAGAAAGATAGCTTTTCTCAACTATAATATATTAACTACATGTTCTCCGTTATCCACACAGGTTTACATAAATGTCATCTTGCAAATAGGTAACCCTATAAACCTCCTTAGAAGAAATCCCTTAATTTGAAGTAAAATATTCATCGATGCTCTCCCTCTTCATCCTCAAGAAGTGGTGACTTGCATTAATTTTCTCCTGTCATTTGATTTCATTGAAGCTTATAGTTTTTCACATTGAATTAGTTCTATCATTATCTCCCTTTTACAGTAGTAGGGAGCGATTGATAACCACTTTTGCATTTGCAAGCAGGGATTAAAGAATGCAATTTCGGAGCAGTGTTATGGAACAATTTCGAAGATCCTGCTAAGTACTTGACAACCAAACCCAAGGTTGTTGCCCATATTAACCAACCCATAGGATTTACAAAATGTCTTTAATGTGCTATGTTGTATTTGTTTGACAAAATGAAAAACTGCATATATTGCATGTTAGTGTGTGCAAACATTTACTTTGGTATGTATTTATATATTTCATTATTTTTTTTTTTTGTGAGAAGTGTTGTTCACGCATAATTTTTTTTTAAGAAAACTAATGAAAGAGACTTGAAAACTTTGAGTTTTAATGATAAGGACAAAATAAATGATAAAGTGAATAGTACCAGGATTGATTTTTTAGGGCAAAAATGTGGTTTTTCGTTAAAGTGAACAGTACCGAATGCTTTTCGTTAAAGTTTGTTTTTTTTTCCCTTCATAAAAAGTATCTGGCAATTTTAAAATCTAGTAAATTGTGCAAATCAATAAGTTTTTCCATTTTTTGGTTCTAATAAAGATTGGTAGTGTTAATTTGAAAGAAAATTATGAAAGTCTCTGCACAATTACAAAGTGGAAAATATAATTATGTTCGTTGCACGTAGTGCATAGTGAAGTTCTGGTGTTCGTAGGACATTTTATTGAGTGAGGTGTGTAACTGGTGGAGGGAGAAGTAAAAAAACTAAAAGAAAATTGAAATTAATTTTTTGAGCCCCTATTCTTATCATGCTTAAGTCCAAACCAAGCAAGCTAGTCAAGTCTGAGATAATACGATGCAATAAATGCCCCTTATAACAGTATTAATCAAGGGTTTGTAAGTGTTTCGCGCCAACATAATCTAACATTTATAAACATGATTTTTAAATGTTTCTCACTAACATTAATAGTCTAAGCAGTTAAACACAATCAGTTATCAGAGAGACAACAATATGCACCTTTGTCCTCAGAAGATCGAGGTTGAGGTCGTTGTGATTCAAGGCGAAGAATTCGATTGCCAATTCATTGACGGAGAAAATTGGGGCGTTTTTGCTGCACAAAAACTCAAAGAGGGGAAAATTTTTGTCCCTCAGAGTCAACGACGAAATCATTGCTTGTGGATCTTGAAGCATGACGGGTGAAGTAAGAAAAGATATGATGGTGGTGTTTGAATGCTTGGTTTCAGTAACATATAAGGCCGTTTGCGTATTCGGATCAGGAGCTGTGTTGAGCTTTTGCTTCTGAACAGCTGCCCATGACTGGTGCAGGGGAGGAGAAGTCACCAGCACATTTGCTAGTTCAAGCCCAGCACTGCTAATACTGTCATCACCAACAAAATATTGAAGCAAAGTTAAATGGAGGATGTAAGCCAATAACACCCAACCATAACAAATACGTTTGAAACTGTTTTTGAAATAGCTAACAATGTCACTCTAACGATCAAAAGTGTTTTTCATTATATTGAAAGAAAAACTTAAAAATGTACACGAGTCGGAGAAGTGTTTTCTAAAGAACTTTCGTCGTATTTCTAGTGAAGTCACTTTAGCAAAACACATTGGTAAATTATAAGGACGATTATAAAGCCATTGTACTCGTAAGAAACACTCTACTCATAAGCAGTTCTCTTTTACTATGAACAGATTAGACATATTTATTAAATACTCAAGTGCTCTTTCAAAAAGCACTTGAAAACTTGAAGGTTGACATGGGCGGGTCTGAGGTTGCTCAATTTTATTTTTAAAAACAGTTTTTAGAAAAGTTGGAGCTAAAATTGTGTTTGGTAAAAGTCTAGCCATAGCAAGTGCTTTTCCGAAAAGAGCTTACACTATCTAAAAGCGTTTTGTAATTTTCTTTTGCCAGATTTAACCGTAAGAGCTTTAACTTGTTCAATCAACGATTTTAAAAAACACCTTCAGCCATTTCAGAACAATGTCTGCTTAATCAAGACAATATAAGATCAATCAACGACAAAGGATTCAAAGAAAAATAAGGATCGGAGGAGTTTGAAGTTGACTTACTTGTTCATCTTCAAGTTTTGCCGATCTGCTCAAAAACAGTAGATGGAGAGAATTGGAAACCAGAATGGTCAATGTCTTTCTTTATACTGATATCAATCAGAGCCATGATGACCAAAGAGGAGTCCGCCCAATCAGGACCGTTTAAGTTCAATCATTCAGTTCCAATTCAAGCTAGCTGGACGTCCATTTAATCAATCAAAGCCATGATGACCAATGCGGAATCCGCCCAATCAGGGCCGTACAAATTCAATCATTCAGCTCCAATTCAATCTAGAGTAGAGGAATCAATCCTATCATTATAATTATAATTACGGACGTCTTTGTCCCACCAATCAAATGGCCCCACGAGCAAACCTCCCACCAAGTCGACTATGCACAGGAAAGTCTACTTCGTGGTCAACGGATCTTGTTCCTGAAAGCTTCTCGGAGAACGTTGCCTCGATGCTTTTACTCGTCTTGTTATCTACGTTTACGTGCTAAAGTTGAGATTTATTATTCCCACTTGCTCCTTGTTTAGAGAAATTTTTCTTTATGCTCGTAACATAAGTGGTATATATTAGGAAAAAAAAGTCCATCCATTACGATGAATGCCTGTGAGGGGTGGATTTTTTGCCAAATTATCATACCAACTGAATTACCAACCGTACCATACTAAAGTTGTGTCAAAAAATTTGTACCATTGGTAATGGTATGGTATTTATATCGTACCATACATTTTCGGTACGATAATGATACTTAAAACTTACCAATGGTATACCGTACCGTGCCACTACTATTAATATTATATCATTTATTTATTCATTTATATATATAATTATGTATTATTATCATTATATATGCATGTTATATTTTTTTTCCTAGTCATTTATCAAATCATCTCACCGTTTAACCTCTACTTTCCCAATAAAAACATAAGCCTTCTTGCTCTGCGACTCTTAGCCATATGCTTCATCTCTATTGCTCCCATTCCAGCGACTCTCTCTTTTCGCAGTCCATCTCATCTTCTCCTTCATCAAATTGGGATGTCTTTCGCCCTAGCTTCGTCTATCAAGTTAATTTTTGTACAAAGAATGTAGAGATGGAATTTAAGAATCTTTGTACTATTTTTTTTAGGGATGTTGGGTTTTCTCAGCAATTCTTCTATCTATTTACTTCTTGTTTCTTAAATGAATCTCTATAAAATTCTCATAATTAAATTAAAAAGTTTTAGAAAGCCAAAAAGAGTGGCCAAAACACGTTTGGGCCTTGAATTGGGTTGAAAAAGAAAAAGAAAAAATCAAATTTTGGCCCAAAACAAAGTGGTAATTATCATTACCATACCATGCCAATCAAACCATTTGGCATGCCGAAATTCGGTATACCGAGAGTTTGGCATGGTAATGGTAATAGATTTGTCATATCATATGGTTGGTACATGGGTTTTGGTACGGTAATTGTACCAATACTACCCCTACTCGTGATAAATTACAATCCACCACGGATACTGTGTCCGTTAGTATTCTAGATGTAATAAAAAGTCTCAATTTCTAGGATAGGCTATACCCGTTGTCAATTGCAATATAACCATGGATTGTACCCTTGGTGGATTGGGGTTTAACACCATGTGCTATGACCATTGTCGATTACTAATTGACCACAGCTAATGTCCGTTATAAATTATTTTCCAAAATTTAAAAAAATAATAAAACTATTTAACAAATATATATATATATATATATAATTGTTATTAGCACTTCAAAAATTTCATTTGACCCTCCAAACTTTCTATAATTGGAAAGAAAAATACACTTGTGAGGAGTGTAAAATGAGATTTTTGGAGTGCTAATAACAGTTCTATATATATATATTTGTATTTATATATTTTAGTACAGAATAACCAAGAAAATTTCATAGGAAGCTGTTATTGACACCCCCAAAATCTCAATCCACACTCCTTACATATTTCTGATTTATCTATTTTAATTATTTTAATATGATTTCTGAATTTTCCCTTATATTGTTTTTAATGTGCCTAGAATTTTGAAAACCTCATTAAGTATACTTTTAATGACTAAAATAAATTGGTGAGAATGCTTGGACTTTGAGCATTTTCATTTTTTAAACTTTTTTTTTTGAAAGCCTCATTAATCTTTCATTTGGAATTGATTTTGCTGACGAAAAAAAAAATTGGAGGGATTTATGGTAGATTTTTCCAGATTTCCTATGAAACAAATAGCATAACAAATGCCACAAATAGCATCTTTCTTCCTTCTTTTCAACAAAATCAAATTGTTGCTAAAGGCAACAAGTAATTCTTCTAAAATACGACATAATAGTTGTGGCTATCACAGTTCATATCTTGAACATCATAACAAGGAATAATCTCATGTTTTTTTCTTTCTAGAATTTTAACCATGTCAATGCAAAATTAAATAATTCTAAACATAACATCCAAACATATATGTATCAGCAGTTGCCTCCACATCTCAAACCAAGCCTGAAGCTTGTTTCCATTTCCTTGATAATCAAACTCTAATCTTCAATTGCCTCCACATCTCAATGTTACAATATTCAAGTGGTAGACCCTTGTTGATGCACAAAATCAGTGAGGACTTTGGTACAACAGAAAGTGTTAAGTTTGTGACTTTCGCTAGATTGCTCCAATCATTAGTGTGGATAAGTATGCAAATGGATAGAGACAGGGAAGCAAACACAAGATGTACGTGGTTCACCCAGATTGGCTACGTTCACGGAGTAGAGGAGTTCTCATTAATTGTGAAGGGTTTACACAAGTACATTGGTTCAAGCTCTCCTTTAGTGAGTACTAGTGAGTGATGTAGTACAAATGACATTAGGCAATATTGTGGGAGAATGATCTCCTTTTATAGAAGAGAGTTTCTAGCTTTGTTTTGACATTGACACGTGTCGTGTTGTGATTGGCTTCTGATGTCGACACGTGTCGCGCTATAATTGGCTACTGATGTCAACACGTGTCGCGCTGTGATTGGCCTCCTGGTTGGAAGGAAACTCTTCTGGGTCTTTGACGGTATAACGTTGACCGGTGCTCGGTAGTTTCGGGATTGGTTAAGTATGGTACAAACAGTGCTCCCCTAAGTTCCCGAGTGAGGGAAGCTCCTCGGTTGGGGACTTGCAAGATCCAAGCAGCTGAGTAATCATGAAGCTTTTAAGTACTGAAGTGTGGTATCATCTTCACTTGCCTTATCTGTCTCATAGGTAGATGTGGCATCTTCTCTGGAAGTACTTTTCCTCCATCTAGAGGTGGTATCTTTAACCGGTGGAGATGCACAAGGTAATGTATCAATTTGACTTGAAGCTTACTTGTAGTTTCAGGCTTGGTCAAGCGCGATACAAACCATGTAGTAGGAGTCCCTCAAGTCGCCGAGTTAGGAGATTTACCGAAAGAGGTGACAGATAAGGTAAGCAATCAGAGTTCCAAGCAATCAGTCCCAGATTAGAAGTTTGATTTCGAGTTCCGGCTGATTGTTCTCATTCTCCTTATCTTGCAGGCAGCAAGAAGGATAAAGAGAAGAAAAATGAGAAGAGATGATATGAGATACTTTTGCTTTTGAAGAAGTAACTTTCCACAGACTTATTCTTGAACTGGGCTGGAAGGTTTTCTGGTTTCCTCCAGAGTATAAGGCCGACTCAAGAATTTGAGGGTCAAAACAAGTCCATCAAATCTAGAGTACGTTTGACCCTGATGATATGAGATACTTTTTCTGTTGACAAAGTAGTGGATGTATCAGCACGTGTTCTGTTATGCTTGTTTCCACATGCTTTCTTATATCCTTCTCACTTGCCCTATCTGTTCCTCAGATAGATGTGGTATCTTCTCTAGAAGCATAAGATGTTGAAGTTGAGTAATCGAGAGCAATGCCAGGTAAGTAATCATGCAAGGGGTTCCAGGCAGTCAGTTCCTGACTAGAAGCTTGATTCCAAGTGTTGACTGATTGCTCTCTTTCTCATTGTCTTGCAGGTAAGAACAAGGGCAAAGGAAATGGAAGGGAAAAAGCATGATATGAGATACTCTTGCTTTTGACCCTGATGATATGAGATACTCTTGCTCTGGTGTGGCTGGTTTGCATAGGTATTATTGGGGGGAAGAAAGCTGAGTATTTCGAGAGGCTTCGTTGGGAGTGCCCTCTCAGATATGAGGAAGGGTTGAGCATTTTTGTATGTCTGCCTGTCCGTGGAGGATGAAGGTCGACATATATAGGAGTCTTCCTAACAACAAATAGTAATGCTATTCATTTACCCGTCTTGGTCATAGCAATGTAGTGGGAGTTGCAAGCTTCATGTGTA